CGGGCTTGGGCTGTGCGCCGAGTGCCCCAGGGCTGGCCCTGCCTTCCAGGCAGCACAGGGGTGGCTGCGGTGTCAGCTGCCACGGGGCACCCGCGTCGAGGCTGGGCACCCGCGTCAAGGCTGGACCCCCTGCGCTGTGCCCTGGCAGAGCTCCAGGAGCCTCAAGGGGAGGAACAATGTGGGGAAGAGCAGGACGGGTGTCACAGTCTGCCATGTGGAAAGCCCCACAGTGGCCACGGAGCCAGCCGTGTCCCTGAGCCGTGGCCAAGCGCTGGGTCCCACCCTGTGCTCCAGGCTCAGGCTGTGGTGCTCGGGGATGGGGGCGGCCAGGGGCCGGCAGTGCCTGACAGCCCCCTGCTTTTGGCAGGTACCCGCATCATCTACGACCGCAAGTTCCTGCTGGAGTGCAAGAATTCACCCGTGGCCAGGACCCCTCCCTGCTGCCTGCCCCAGATCCCCGGTGTCACATCCCTGGCCCAGTCCAGCCTCGTCAAGCTGGAGGAGCTCAAGGAGCGGAATGAGAGCGAAGAAGCCATGCCAGGTGAGCAGCCCAGGCAGGCAGCGCCTGCCTACGCGCTGCCTGGGGCATGGGGAGATCCCCGCTCAGCCCCAGTTCCAGCTCCTGCCCCCTTTGCCTGCATGTTTCTCCCAAGGTAGTCCCCTCCTAACCCTGGCTCTGTATCCCTCCGTACACTTGCAGATCAAGACCAGTTTGAGATGGACATCTGAGTTTCCAGCTCCCCGTCTCCAGGCCATGGCTGGGCCTGTTCCTGGGCCTCGTGGAGGTGCTGGCACCGTGACCAGCTGGCTGCAGCCCTCTCTGATGCTGGGGATGGACGTGTGACACCTCAGGCTCTAGCACAACTGGCTGGTGCAATTGCCTAGGAGCTCATGCTTGATCAATAAACACCATGAAACCCCTGTGTTGACCTGGTGTGCATCTCTGTTGGGGCTCAGCTGGGTCCTTAGGGCCCCGGGGAGGGGAGCTAAGAGGAGCTGAGCAGCACCAGGAGCCCTTTGAGGGTGCAGAGGATCTCTCCCTCCTGCACCAAGACCCTGCGGGCTGGGGGTGGCGAATGCAGGGCCTCAGGGTCTGCTCCCAGGCTTGGGGTGCCATGTGCAGCCTTGCCCAGCTGCGGCGGGGGCAGCTTGTGAGGCTGTCCTGTGAGCGCAGGAGGGAGCAGCGCAGTGCGGTTTGCCTGCTGTCCAGGGTAAACGTTAACACCCTGGGCTTACCTGACCTGGTGGGCGTCAATAGCACTGTGATGTTTCTCCCTGTCCCCGAGGCCACCCAGGTCTCTTGGGTCCCAGACTTGGGTCCGAGCTGTGCCAGGACGGGCAGGAGCCCAGATGGGAGCACGGGCTGTAGCTGCAGCACAAACCCTGGCTGTGCCAGGCTGCTCTGGGCTGGCAGCAGGTTGGCCTCCCCGGCCGCCCCAGAACTCCTCAGGGGCTGCCTCCTGCAGCAGAGCTGGGCTGTGTGCCTGCTGCTGTGGGTCCCCCCGCTGCCAAAGGCAAGGCCAGAGGGGCCAGACTTTGCCAACCGGTGCGGCAGGGAAATGCATCGCTGTCCGCGCAACCTGGGTGATGCGGGGGGTGCTGCCAGAGGCATTCCTTCCCTTCGTGTCTTGCGGGCCAGGAGCAGCCCGCCCGGGCGAGAGCCCCTTGGCCAAGCCAAGGCTGCCACGGCCTCGCCCAGCAGTCCCCTCTCCTGCTGCTCCTGTGAGAGAACCACGGCCGTCCGGTGCCAGAACCCTGGGGCAGGCTGCGGCCAGGGGCAGGTTAGTGCTGTTTATTAAACGTCACGTAGTGAATCGCCACTAAAATGTCACAACGATTAAAATCCCCTTTTCCTGGGTGAGGAGCGGGAGGCAGAGGAGGTGCCCAGACCCCCTCGGGCAGCGGGGGGGGCCCTTCTCCTGCCGGTGGCCCTGGACATGGGCTGCCCTGCTCGCGGTCTGCAGCCCCGTCCCTGGCATCAGGGATCCTCCGGGCCGGGCCCGGCCCGGGTGCTGCCATCTGTCGCCGCAGCCGGCTCCGCAGCAGGGAGGCTCCTCGTCTCGGCGATCAGGCGCTTGACGGCCACCAGCCCATGGCTCACCTCGGTCCCCGTGTCCACCCT